GGTCACTAACGTACACGCGGAAATCAGTGTCATTAGTAGCAGGATACAAAATAATCTTAATCAACTTTCGCTCAAAGAATCCAAACAAGATTGTATATACTATTCTTTCTTTCCAAATAAATTATTCATTATTTTCTACAATCAGTACACGAAGCTGTTATGAAGCGGTGATTAACGGTTACGGTTAACCGTTCGACCCGTTATTTACGGTTACGGTTATTTACGGTTACGGTTATTTACGGTTATAACCGTAACCGTTGCATGCCTACTTGGTAACTGTTTTTACTTATACCAGCTTGAGCGGCACCTTGACGAATAGACAGTTGTGGATTACCAGTGACCATTTCTTCAATCTCGTCTAGTTTTTCTTCAGAAAGCACACTTGACGAGCGACCACTGTGTGGTAAACTTTCAAGTGTTCCATCTTCATCAAACTTCCTATTTATTGATGAAATTGTCGTTAGATGAGGTGGAGTTGTATCAAAATAATTGGGCCACTCTCTTTGTACGTCAATTGCACGTCCAAACTTTGAAAAAAGTCGTACAATAGCGACTTTCTCATCAGTAGTACGAGTTGCATACATATTAAAGAATCGTAAATTGGATAAGCAATACTACCCTCAAGACATTATCACGTGGAGCATCTTGTATATCGTTGTTTTTTCTCTCATCTTTTTCTTGTTATCTATGAATGCGCCTGCTTTCACTCACATGAATACATACCGATGTACACAATTCTATATTAGCCACGTGTTTCAATACAAAAAGAAAACTGAGACAATGGTTAAACTTAGCAAGTGATATGGTTTTTAGCGCAAAACCACGATAAGAGAGCTACTTTTAGATGANTGATAAATAGATCTTCATCGTAGCTAACTGGTCGTGTATTGAAGAAAAAATTGTCGAGTTGATGCCTATAAACGGACCGTTTCTTCATAAATAAAAACTACTATTTGTCTTCTACCGTCAGAAAAAAAATTCAACTCATTTGGTTGAAGAGTCATGAAGATTTTGAAATTTTCTGCAACTCTAGTGACTTTCTGGACACCCTATATATTTTTTTTTAAAGAATTTCGTATCACTTGCTTCCAAATTTCGTTGTGCGCATGTTTCGAAATTCTGACTAAAGTGATGGTAATAGTAATAGCTGTTTTTGAAAACATCTGAAAATGATTATCTATAAGAAAACATATGGATAGAATTGCGGGGGTTGACTATAGTCTCTACGTTGATTAACCTTTTTCAGGTTATTGAAAAAAATTATTACACAAAAAATGAAGTTTTTAACATCTTAAAGACAAGTTTATTCAAAATAATAATACGTGAAGATGGAAGAAAAAGAAAAAAATATTGTTTTATATATGTTCCCGCAATATGAATAGAACATTGAAGAGAAAAAGTACAAATCAACTAAATATTTTTTTACGAGATTTATAAATTTTATGATCTCTGGGTAAATATGCATGACTCTCGAGCGTAACAGAATTCATTCTCGGGACAAAACGCTATGTTTTTAAATTTGTTTGCTGTGCTGTTGACTCAAAACTGCTGGTACGATCCCGCTATTACCGTAAAGAAAAGAAACACTTTACGAAAGTATTATGCAATGTATTTAGTGCTATATAAAAGCAGTCAGATTTAACATACAAAATCAAAGTAGTTAGTTTAACATGGCTCGTTTTGAATATGGTAATTATGATCTTCGACAAACAAGTAATTTTGTTAACGTTCCTGATCATCCCGTAGCAAAATGTATGTATTATTTGGATGTTGTTTTGGATTTGGTAGAGTACGAAGAAAGCAATTTGAACAAATTACGTGATTATTCAAATTATGATGATTTATCAGCACAAGAAATTCGATTACTCTATGTTTTATGTGCTGCCTTAAGTCCAGATGAGTTAATCAATAAATGTATGTTTCAAAATGATACATTATGTGGCAATTCAACAAATAGAATTTACGAACTTGGGCACACGCAAAATCATTTAGTTGTAGCAAATTCGATTCTGATTGCTGGGAGAAATCGCCGAGTGAAATGCTTTATGACATTCAAACAAATATGGTTATTGAGAAATTATATTCAGCCAATGTTAGAAATGCCGAATGAAATTCAAAAACAAGCTCAAATTGAGGCTACAGCAGAACAGTTATCACAAGCCTGTACAATTTCGTAGTTTTGCCGTTTTTCGTACGTGTGTTACTGCTTTTTTACTGTTTATTAACTATATATATTTAAATTTTATTCAGTGCTGTGACAATTGCAACATGTCATTTAATGTTGATAAATGCACATAAACATGCTTGACAATAGACCCAACTTTCAGTACCGTCCGTTGCAATAGACTAATCCGTTTGTTAAAGGTCATAATATGTTCATAATCAGCTACATTTTAAAAATAAAATATAAAAATGTACGATGTCGCAGATTTGAGACTTCATAACTCTTAGTTCAAGAAAATCTAACACAGAAAAGATGATATACGCTAGTAGTACTCAAATATAGTTGGATGTATCAATGTGAAACCTACCACGATATACAAAAGTGTGAGCGCCAGAGACGAGACTATACATATGTGATAGATCATAAAAACATAGGATTTGGGGAGAAAATTACAGTCCTCTAGCTCATTCAAGTGCCGAAAAATCTTCAGTTTATTTTTAAAGCAAAACAGCTGAGTCTAGCCACGTAAACCGCAGGTCTATAGCTCTTGCGAAAAAAACGTTATTGGCGTTTTACTCTCGCAGTAAAATTAATGAAATTTTGTCTAAAATACTGTAAAAAACAAAACATCAAAACTCACTAAAATAATGTAAAGTCAAGGTGGATGACTGTTGCGAAATAGTATTTACACGATGCAGAGGCATGAGTAATGCGTATGTGTATGTAGAAACTATAAAAGATTCTCATCGTTCTCTGCATTACATGTCATGTGAAATCTTATTGTAGAAGAAAAAAAAGAAAAGGAAGAAATGCTACGTGCTCCGAATTACTGTTGATATTAATCAACAATCATCCGTCTGAACGATGCAATTCATACTGGGCTAGCCAAAATTCAAATGCAAAACATCTTTCGCTCTCAACGAGAACTATAGTTTCGAAATTTTATAATCGTGACGATATGACGTGGCACCGGCTAAAAGAGATACGATCACAGTGGAAAACGATTATGGGCAAAAAATAACGTGTCAGAAACAAATTCTACTGTCCAAGTTGGGAGAAACTTATCAATTTTTGAATGAAAATCTGAATGTTGTTGTCGTTTTTAAAGTTTCAAAGCGGTAAACGTGTGCATCAGAGCTTCAATGGCGCACCAATTATATCTGTGTGTTTATCATAAGAATAAATCTCTACTATCGAAGCGTTGTCGAAATGTATTTTTAGAAGACGTTAATGTGACGTATCTGTGGTAAAATTTTGAGCTCAATCGGACCATTTTTTTGAGGGGTCGTAATGTGCGCCAATTAAAGGACCTATTGAAAAAACGCATAGTGAGAAATACGCACGTGTATATAATACCTTGCTTTTACATTCAAATAAGAAACAAAACAAAAAGCTTGAAACAAACGGCTGAGTTCTATTGCGAAACGCAATTTTCTGACCGATGATTGAAATGCATTTACCATATGATTTAAGAAGAATTACCGTGCCTTCTGGACTAAATTGTCACAAATATTTCATCATCAGTTAAAGTCAATGAAGAATAATCATGATAATAGAAAATCAATCGCTGTCAACATGTGGATATACTCCTAGCTTTTATTATGCAATCGGAATGGTAAATTATAGATCGCCTGTCATGCGTATTATCGTTTTTTTTCTCGACTTTCGTAGAAGAACAACGAGCATATTTAGAAAAGAAAGCTTGCTGAATATACGATGAATATTGCTGCTTTATAGTTAATTATACATCCCTTAATTAATTATGTTCAAAAGCCTTATTTTTTTCTCTCTATTTCTCCCATCCATATTGACATAAATAATATCATTTTTCTCACCGGTTAATAATCAGTTCAACCATAACGCTAATACTAAATCGGTCAAATAGCTAAAATATATAAAAATCCAAAGTGTAATAGCAATGGTGTAAAAAGAGAAAATACAGAAGTGTAATTGGAAAAAGTCATTTACTCACAGACATTCATTAGCGGCATTCATGTAGCAAGAAGTAAATACCAATTCAACCGCTTGACCATTAGAGGTACCCTAACTGTTCTAATATTTTCCTTAGTTAGTCCTTGAATTCGTTTCATATCTATTCATCTAACCTATCATCATCATCCTCGTGATTCTATATCCACATTGACGTTTATGTGTATACGAATGCATTGAAATAACGTAAACAAGGGGGTTACTGGATAGGAGAACATGGTAGGATTGTAGTTAGCATAATTGAAGAATGGTTTCACATTTAGCGGCAGTTTTCTTTAGATCTGTCAAGAGCTGTCTATGCCCTTGATCTAACCAATCAGTGCCCGCCGAAAGTTTCGCCCGCAAATAAAATCGTTCATCTCATACATAGCCGGAACGTTTTGTACATAATACTCACTGAAAATTCATTATTCATATTTAGCTTGGCTATTTCTTGTCGTTTTTTTCGTATTAATCAAATAATAAAAATAAGTCCACATTTTTGATTAAGGAGTGCGGCAGAATAGATGATCCTTCAAGTATTTTCTATTTCCTCGTGCTTCTCAATGACCCTAAGGTTGGTGTCTTTTATAAAAGATGCGCCGCGAAATACTCCGCAAACCATACTTAAATTTTAATTTCAAAACTTCAACCAAGAAAACTACAGAAATTATACGAACGACGAGAAAAATGAAAGCTTTCCAAACTCAAAAACGATTTCTTGTGTTAACGTTTTCAAAATAAGAAAACCTGAATCAGCCATTATGTAGCCGTGACTTTGCTCTATCTTCTAGCTACAATTACCCTCAAAAAAATGGTCCGATCGAGCTCAAAATTTTACCACAGATACTTCAGACCCTATAGTTGGTTTCTTTTCGAAAAATATTCTTTCCTTCTCGAGATATCCGAAAAATACTGAAAATCCCATATAAAAAAACGATCTTTTATTTTGAAAATCTTTTTACGCCCAAAGTTGAAGTCGGAGACGCTTTTAGAAAAAAAGAATCTGAAACAGGGTCTGAAGTATCTCTGGTAAAAGTTTGAGCTCGATCGGACCATTTTTTTGAGGGGTCCTAATGTGCGCCAATTAAACGGACTATTGAAAAAACGCATAGTGAGAAATACACATGTTCTACGCAGGGCGGTGTTTTTCTGGGTATTCGCGGCCATGCTTATATCTTTAAGAAAACTCATCGGTAAATTCTCGAAAACATCATTTTGAAGAGCACACTTTCTTCTATCATGCTATAGATAAGAAAAAATTTTGAATATATAGAAAAAGAGAGAAAAATTTACGAACGTAAAAAATTGAGATTTTCTAGGCTCTCAGGAAAAACTTCAAAACTTCATAATTTCTTGAAGGAAAATCATGGGAGTGGTCTCATTGTATAGCCAAGACACCTATGTTCTACATTAGACTATGTTCAGCTCAAAATGACAACTTTTCTACAAAAAAGAGGAAGGGGGTACCCTTAACGTAATCATTCGAAGAAAGAATAAGAATGTTAAGAAGTATTACCAGACAGTTCTCCCTCACTTCTTGTGCTCCTTCCTGACGCTCTTATCGATAATATGTTACGGAAGGTGTCCTCCTTTATATCACAGCGGTATTTAAAATATACACTATGTATTGGAATGTGGTGTTGTTTTTGACACATGATTCATTATTTTAGTATTAAATCTTCGTGCGATGACTTGTTAATTAAAAACTAGCGGTTTTCTGGCCATGGTATATCAAAGGATAGACTAAAGTACCCTAAAAAATGTTAACAGTTTTGTTAATTTTGTTTTTCTGTCTTATTCAAACTTCAGCATTGAAAGTCCATCAATTCAACAGGTTGCAAATCAAAATAACTGCAGCATCGTCAAAAAACGTTCGCAGTTTATGAAAGGATATCGTTGGCTACAGTTTGTTCCAATATTACTGATTCTAGCATTTACTGATGGACTGATTGCAACCAGCGTGACAAACAGTAGAAACCACAGAAGGTGCTTGTACAGCTTTCTTTTCCAAAGGAACAATAGGAAACAAGCCGAGTTACTCTTTTAAGCGAGGAGGAGTTGTCGTGTAAAAAACAGATAAACTTTTACTCTTTTTACTCATCCTTTCAAGTTCTGAATTTTGTGCGTCATTTCTTCTCGAGTTTTTGAGCTTATGTTTGATAGCTGTTGAATCAAGATGTCGTGATTCAACAGCTACCAAACATAAGCTCAAAAAGTAGTCAAAAGATAGTGCTAAGAAAAGATTTATTTACTTCCATCCTTGCTGATAAAAAGAGCAAACCACTCTTGCTAACTACTGTTTTGCTGCTAAAAGTAACGTGAGATTAAAATGAGTGGATCTCCAGGAAAAATAGACCTATACATAACTTATTATACATCATTCAACTCGTCTTCGAGAAACCTGTCTACGAATGTGTAATATAAGTCTTTGGTAGAAAAGATGAGAAAATCAAAACTCTGAGCATTTTTTATGCTATACTATGCTCGTGCTGTTTGTCTGGGTGACAACGTTTTTTGTTAAGTTTTTATTAAGTTTTAGATGTTTATAATGTATACTAATGCCCCATAAATCAATAAACCGAAATTACCGATTAAAATTACAATTTAAACGGTTAAAATCTAAAAAATTCAATGAAAGATTTAAAAAACAAGCAATGAACAGACGAGCTACATATAGTTTAAAACAAGAACACTTATTACAATCAACGTCCACCACATTTTTTAGTGAATACCATATTGACACTTATAAAAATAGAGTTTTTTCCAGTTCTATCAACTGGTAAACATGTATAATTCACTCAACAACGCAAGAGCGTGTTATGTATCATCTATACGTGTTTTAACTCTGGTAGGTAAAGCAATAAAATAAAGCAGCCTAGCCTAATGAGGTCGCATTGAAAACCCGTGCAAAACTGAGACGAATGATTATATATTTTTAACTAACTTATTTGAAATTTCTGTTTCATACACGTCCTTATTATATAGAACCTTATACAGGAGAAAGTACAAGAGACAACAAGTGCTAATAGTTAAAATAGCGAT